CCATCGCTCTTAGGTCGGAGGGCACTGCTATTTGGTTGGAGGCCATCATTCCTTTTGCTATTAGAATTTTATTCTTTCTGATCCTTCGCTTGGCGTCGTTCTGTTACACCTTCGGGGAGAATCTGCCGTCGCGGTGCAAGTCGCAGTGTCGATCGCGTAGGGAGGGGTTCGGCACTGAAAGCAGCTATCGATGCCCTTTGTCGGTCGCATGTGAAAGTGATTTCAACTTTTGTATCTCCTTTGTTCGGTAGTGTCTCCTGCCAGCCAGTTGTTTTCTTGAGGATAACATGTTCCATGAAACATGGGACCCAAACAGCTAGCAGCAGCGAGCAGCCTTAGATGCCTCCACAGCATCCAAAATACTTGAGGAATCATTTGCACAGCTCGTCCTTGCGCAGGCGCAACCTGTAGAGGCAGGAGCTCAATCCGTGTTGCACGTTTGGCAATGTCTTCGATGGAAGCCATGAGAAACGAACAATTCTGCATGTTCAGCAGTAGCGTAGGCCTAGGGCCACTGATGAGCCCGCACGGGGATTGAGGTGCCTGGTGTGGTGCCTCCACCTGGTCTCAAGGTGCGGAGGGTAGCGGGAATGTGGAATGCGGATGAATGCGAGAATGTAGCTTTGTAATATGTGAGAAATACAAGCGGACATCCAAGTACCAAACTAAAAGACAAAGGGTCTTGTAAAAAAGGCATCGAAACTTTCAGACATGCACACCGATCAAAAAGCATTGCGTAACTTGAGTCAATCGAGGCAGCTACCCAAAAGATCGAGACAGCCTACGATAGTACCAAAAAGAAGTATTTCGGCACCGATTGGATACTCTACAGTAAATTTATCGGCAACTAGCTTAAAGTGGATCCTAATGAGAAGCAGGATGATTCCAGACTCAAACCAACATTGGATTTGCCTTCCATGTTTGATCATCAAACACTTTTGGAGGTTCCTTGAACCCGCTTCCATGTTGGTATTTGCTGAGAGTTGGTCTCTGCTGCAAGGCCGGTGTTGATGACATCGCAAAGACTCTTGGGCTTAAAGGAAAGGACAAAGTCACACGATCGGTAACACATGACGATGTGAGCATTCCTCGATAGCCGTCGATAGCCTATAGCCGTCTGAGGCAGGGTGAGTATGCCCTGAACTTGGCAAAGGCAGGACCACTTTGAGTCTTTCTTTGGAGCCGCAAAGAACCGACACTTGACTCAGAAGACTTTTTGGCTTTAGCGGTGCTTCAGATGCTCAGTCTCAACCATACTGTACAGGCCGAACGTGCTGAGAAGGCGGTGCTGGGCAACACGGACTGTTGTCGCTGCTTGTCGACTCCTCCTTTTAACTCCAATTGACAAGGTCATTAAGGGGCAAAAGCTCATACACATGAGTCGCACAGGCAAGGTTCATACAATTTTGCCAGGCAAGAACCTTGCTGGAAGGTTTTGCCCATGAAGAGGCGAGGGCCGGGGAAGTGGTTGAGTGATTTGCTCGTTGCCTACGAGGCATGATCAAAGGCTTCATGTTCTGCTGTGTTCTAAAAATGGGGTGATTGCCACAAGTGACCCAGAGGAATCTCATGACGCAGAGCATTTCGTGTGCCAATTTCGCTCAAGCCTCGCACAAAGCGGTGAGGATTAGGGTTGCACTTCGGCTTGAAGGTTCGCGGTTCATCGTTTGGGATGGTTTGTCGGCAGCTTCAGACTTCCTGCTTCCTGCTTGGTACAAACAGTGTGTTCTTCAAACTTGCCCGTTTGGCGACACCGTGATTCATCATTGATCCAGGGTCTTTCTCACCCACGCCACAGCGACAGCGCATCCTAGTGGTTGCTGCGATGGCACGCCGTAGATCTCTTCTTGCAGGGGCCTTGGGAACCCTTATAGAAAGAAGACTTCAAGGAACCTAATAGCGATGGCCACAAACATTAATCAGATGTATGTTGCGCTCGCCCCAGAGCCAATCCATGTGACTTACAAAGGCACTGCTGCTGCTGGGCCACCTGGGCTCCGTGCTGGTACCCCCATGGAGGCAGCGCGGCTGTCCAAATGCCTTGGAGATCTCAAGGATTGATAAATCGTTTCAGGATTCAAAGTTAAGTCTCTGAAAGCTTCTAACAATCAAGGTTCTCGAAGGAGCATGTAGCGATCAAATGGAGGCTTTCAGTGAGCTGACAATGCTTGAAGTTCTGAACTCCTCTATTGGTTGACATTAGACCGGGTGGAGGCCATCGATTACGGCTTCATCGACTGACTGTTCACCGTCCACTGTGTGCCAGGCCCGCCGAACGGCGGACCGCGCAGCGGCCGCGCACAGCCCTTGGGGCATCTCAAACGCTGCCGCCACGGCTGCAGAGGTCGGAGGAGCAGCTGAAAGAGCCAAGCGCTTAGCGGAATTGGAAAGAACCTTAGAGCTTTAAGGAACCTAAGAGCGATGGCCTCCACCCCAGTGGCGATGGCCTCCAACCTAATAGCGTGGCATTGTAGCATGAAGTGGCAAAAAGGAGAGGGGTCTAGATCGAGGGTTCGCTTGGGGGGGTGGATTCGGTGCGCAGGGAATCCTTAGGCAAGCTTTGTGCATATATGTGTGATCTCATACGAGTCGTACGAGTGCGGTCATATGTGTGATGTTTCATGTTGTCCATAAAACGTAGTTTCCTACTTAACCGCTTCCCTTGCGGTTCTTCTACACTTGCCAGGATAATTCAATTGAGCCATACACAATATGTTACGGCGGCATTGTTGCTCAAAACTGTGTGCCAAGAAGATGCTGGACTGCTGGAATTGATTCCCACTTGCATGCCTATTCTTGAAAAAGAGTGAAAAAACCATAAACTATTAGCGATGGCCTCCAACCCAATAGCGACGGCCTCCAACCTAATAGCGATGGCCTCCAACCTAATAGGGATGGCCTCCAACCTAGCAGCGA